TGGTTGTGACATTCTCCCCCACTTAAACTGTCATCGTCCTCGATGACCTACTCGTGGGGTACAATCCAAAGATAAGAGTTAGGATTGTAACACTCAGCAACACCCATTCCAGACGAAGCATTAGTCTGAATTTCAGACAACTTACTCAAAGCATTAGTTTTCCTCTAACAGCAGCCGTGATTCTGTGAACTACTTACTAATTAACAGATTACAATTTCATGTAGTCTCTATTAAAATATTGATAAAAGATTAAATCTACTATATCCATCGGTTGAAGTGCTTTTTGGTTCAATAGTAGTTTAATATTCCACATCTCAAATCACTGTCCATAAAGAACAAACTCCAAATATTTTAAATATAAGGCTAATGCAACATTACGAGCACCGGACTTGTTTTTAACCAATAATCCATTCCTAGAGTTTAATTATTTCATTGTATCTTATACACCCCAAATTAATATCGTCTACGGTGTTTTCATGRTTAATAAATTATACTCTCACTTTTTTCCTTTTATCATTTTCCTTTTCTGGTTGAATTTGCATCGAGCAACAGCATGATAAACATCAAGACCAAAATGCTTATTCATAGAGCAGCTTCAATATTGCATGCGCTAAAAATGGGGCTGCAATCCAGTATCCAACAAAATCAAATAAGAGAACATTTGCAATTATGATCCAGCTATTGGAAAATATATTCCGAAAGAAATCACAGTAAGCTATTCTTCAAGCAGCATTATAAATAACCAAATGAAATCCAAGAGATTCAAACCTAAAAAGTTAACCGAAGGTTCGGTTCACTATTAGAGCCGAAAATCGGATGATGATCAAAAGCCTAGTCTCCGAGTAGCTCCGATCAAGAGAATTCGTAATGAAAAGAAAAATGTCAGCAACATGGAGATTAAAAAAAAAATTACAATTATACTCGAACATATGGCATGACCACAGAAATGACTCCAAATAAATAATCAAGCTACATAATCTAAACAAAGTAAGAGATCTAGGAGAAATGAATTAGTTATCGATCTAAGCGTGTGGAATCTTACCCCTCTGGAAGCCATTGCTGCGGAAAATGCTCAAAGCTGGAGATACTGGTAGTGAACGACTTGGAGGAACAGAGACATAGGAAGAAGGAATCTACGGATGAAGAAAAAATAGCTTGAAAAGGCCACTGAGGAATAAGAAGCTTCGAATTTGCCTCTCTTTCGAAGCTCCAAGTTCTGTGGTCCGTCGAGAGTGAAGAACTGGAGGGCCAAAAGCAAAGCAAGAAAGCGATGACTCACACTCACCAATATCTTCCGAATACATTTCTGTTTTTTGTCAAAATTGTTTTTTATTTAGTTACGATTTTATAATTTATAAAATCCATAGTTTTTTTTTTTTCCAACAAGACATAGATCCCATTCATAACCTCTTAGAGATAAATATATGTTAATTATTATGTCCGTTTTAACCTCAGTTGATTAAAGATGAGATATTAAGAGCATATTTAGTATGCAATTAGATTGTGTTTATTATTTTCATATTCATTTTAAATCACTAAGTTCTGTGGATATCTGTGAGCAGTTTTTTTGGATTAATTTAAATAGTGAAAATCTTGGATACATCTTTTCCTTTTTTTTTTCTTAATTGAAACTTTAAAATATAAAAGTATATTGAAAATGATAAAAATTTTGATATATATATTATTCCATGTTATAAAAATTCTTCATTTTTGTTAAAATTAATTAATAATATTTTAAATTGAATTAAATATTGAGTTGGTAATCATCACTAGTTTACAAATGTATTATTAAATATCTTAAACAATTATTTTAATTGATATTCAATTTTCCTAAGCTACCAAATACATATTAAAAATTCTAAAACCATAGAATACAATTCTATTTTTTTAATCAAATTTCTTGTTTTCAGATTTTATATTTAGAGACGACTAATCAAACGAAGCATAAATTTTCAATATACATATTTTTTCATGACAATTAATATGTTCGTATATTAACGTGGGCCAAAAAAAAATGAAAGTGATATAAAAGATATTTGACTAGGGAATATGTTATTTATATTCTATTGTACACAATATTATTAATATGAATATAATATTAACCATACGAATTTAAAACTTAAAATGAGCAAAACAGTTTAGTCAATTTTTATGGTATTTTTGACTCTTTTTAGATATCAATTAACATAGTTATTTGGTTGATATTTTTACAAAATTGGGAGTTAAAAAAAATTAAACAAATTATATGTATTAACATTTGAAACCTTACCCAAACATCATTTCAAATTATTTGAGAAAAAAAAAGGATAATATTTTATTTATCTAACTCTATTAATTATTCTTCACTCCCTACTTCTAATCGAATTAACCATTTCAAACACGAAAATTCTCTTATTCTTCTTTTTCTTTTTAACAACGATGCAAGTTCAATAAAAATATATATATATTTTTTATAGAATATATAAGAGTAGGGATCGAACACACAACCTCATAGTTAGAGATATATGTCAATCATCGTTGAACTATGCTTGTATTGACATATATTTATAATATTTAGTGGTTCAAGGATAACATTAATGCATTTTTTTCGCATTTGTGTGAAGGTTCATGACATCATGTAACTATGTAAGTGACTTTTATCTTTATTAATAGAATATATACAAATATTTGTTTTTCTTTTTTGTTAACTATTCAACTATCACTAACTGATTATTGCATGAAAATTAATTTCAAATTATTAATTTATTCTTCGGCTAACAAACGCATTAGACCTTTTAAATTTTGACATGTCAACTGTTTATGATCGTCGTAGGAAAATTGATCATTTTGACTTTATTAAAGTAGCATTAATCATTAATCGCTAATTGGGCAATTTATTTAAGGGTTAATTACAAGAGATCCCGAATTTTAGACTTAATCCACATAATTAAAGATATATAAATTGAAATTGCTAATCATATAATTTTACATAGTAGTAGATGGCTTTCTTTGTTAAGATAAGTAAAAATTTTTGTTGTCTGGTCAATAGAAGAGTATTATTATTATTTTTTTATAATCCAAGGAGTCGGCGACCCTTTGGTCTTTATGTTCCTATATTTGGAGGTATGTGCACCGTCTCCATACTCGTTATATATCGCTTGACCCTCATGATAATCTTAAAAACTTTTGTTGCCTAGTCAATAGAAGAGTATTATTAATCATATAAAATAGCTTCGACGAAATGAAAACCATCATAGATAGGTTCATTGACCGCTTGACCCTGTTACATTTTCTTTTCTTGTCTTTGATCTACAACATTTGATTACCCAGAAAAATACATACAAAAATTAATTACCTTGCTACACAATTAGTACCATGGTCGAATATTAATGCAGGAGTAGACATTAAAAGAATACTAATTTTTTAAAGATTTTTTTTCCCTAAAAATCAATAGTTTTCTAAACTGATTATTAATCAATAGTTAACTAATTTAAGATTATAGTCACACAACTATTTGACTTGACTAATTAAATATTTTTAACGCGAGTTAAAGACTATTTTTTTTAGACGCGACCCACGTTTTTATTATCATTCAATACATGTGCAATAATTTACCTTTGATGTTCATTGTTTTAAATATAGTTGATGTTTTTAGAATATAAAATGAAATAAGACGATATACATCGTGTTATAAAGATATCAAGTGGTACTAAGAATGGTTTTTCTAAATCTTGGTGAGTGTGAACATATAGCATGTAAGCCGCTAAGTTTTGACCTTTAATAAATTAATTTGAACCATTTTCATAAAGTCGTAGCCTTATTCATGAGTTTTATTTACCTAATTAATTTATAATTTTTTACATCCTATTGTGGACTTAATAAAGCGTGTATATTGAATTGACCATCACCATCTTCATGAGAACAAACAAAATAACTACTCTTAAAGTTAACATTTTTTTTTCAAAATTTAGAATATACAATAAAATTTGTTAAATTGATATATATCGATTTTTTTAAGTACATATAGTATGTATTAGTTAAGGCGTGTTGATCTCATCACCAAAATAATCAATTGCAAATGTTATGTCATGTGGTATTTTAAGATTAAAACAAAAAAACTAAAAAAAAAAGGTCAAATTAATTGAAAATCATATGATTAGGTTCAACGAGCACATTCTTAATAAAGTAGCTTTAGTTACTCTTGCTTATTTATTCAATATACTAATTTGCAAAATAATTGGCCTCGATATATTCTACAAGATATATTAGTTTTTTTAGATAATATATTAGTTATTATTTTACTATTTTTTTAATAGCAAGTAATTGTATTAGAAAAAGGAGATGTCCTTTATTTGAGAAAATATTCATCTCAATTAGGCCCAAAAAGTAGGAGAGCAGTGATTCTAAATTGCTTTGTGATGATTAGAAGAGGAACTAGAAGAGATTTACTGACGGCTGATTCAATAATTATAGACTTCATCTTCCCAGAAAACTTAGCCGAATGAGTTTTTATAAGAAATTTAACTCGAAAACTCGTCTCTCGACATAAGCCTTCTGCGTCACACTCCACATCTTCAAAAGTTCCCATAGCATTTTCAAGTCATATCGTCGTTATTTAATGAATAGAGAGATAGCTGTAGATAGTTTTGAAATTACTTGCATTCAATTATAATTTATATAATTATGTTGATATTAGTATTGTTACTATAATCAATTGGCATTAGACTTGTTTGGGCTCGAAACTGCCAAGTCCGGATAAGTACTAGATCGGCCGCTGTTCCACACCTTCCCAGACTACTCACGAAACCTGCATAACAAAGTTAGCACTTCGACGAACAAGTTAGTTCTAGTCCGAACTAACTCGCCGAGTTTATCTAGGATTGGGTACCTTGCATTTAAAGCAAGAGTTTCTATTTATAGAAACTGGGCCCGACAGGAATTCTGACACACCCTAAAAACGCGGCGTGTTGTCGGGTTCGGAAGAGACCACGTTACAGACTTTGTCATAGGTCGGTTCGGTGTCCTAGCTCATACTCCGCCAGCCGACCTAAGTGTTTTGGAGTCAATTTTCATATTTTGTGTGCGCGTTGGTTCTATTCGCCTTTTCGAATATGACAAGACTGGTAAAAAATGGTGGGAGTCACTAGGCACGAACTTTAGATCTTCATCAATGGCTCGAGTCGAAAGGGTTGGTGGTAGAGAAAATGGATCTAAAGTAGGAGATGAAGATATTGTATTTCCTTTTCATTTTCTGTCTGACACCGACACCGAACCAAATTAGTAATGCTAGTAATCTGATTACAAAAAAATTCTTTTTGAAATCATTTGGTCTTACGATCGCCCCATTTAAACAATTTTTCACATACTATACTAATTATCAAATTTTTGTCTAAACGAACGTACCTCAGCGATGATTAGCATATATATCCAATTAAGAGATTATGAATTCCACCCTCGGTTAACTTACAAAATCCATTATTGTCATTAAAAAATAAACTTCACTTTTGTTTTTAGATCTTATAAAAAGAACATATTAAAATATAAAACACACACAACCATCATCAATTAAAATTGACTTACAACTTTGGTCACAAATTATATATAATTTAATCATACCTCTTTTTATTATTTATTTAACCACCTCGTGAGCTTTTACTAGTCATACATTTACTATTTCCCTTTTCACTTTGAATTTAATTACAAATTATTTGTTATTATTAATTCAATTGTGGTCTAGTCTAAAGGGAGGGGTTAATTTTGTTTATTTTTTTCTCATATACTTGCTCTTTCTTGCTTCCTTTTTCCTTGTAATTTCCAAAAGTTTGATCAAATACAATTTTAATATGGACAAGGGAGCTTGTTTTGTTCTTTTAGTTGGACTATTCAAGCTCGCAAGACTTTTTCCTTTTGAAAAGATTAAAAAAAAAACTTGAACTTTGTCATCTTCATCCTGAAGTATATATATACATATCCATGCTTGTAAGCTAAGTTCCACAAGAAAAGGGTCTTGTGTCTTGTGGAAGAGGGAAAGAAGAAGAAGAAGAACCCACAGAGAAGCAGCAAGAGTGACGCTTTTGAGATAACAAAAAAAAAAAAATGGTGAGAGCTCCTTGCTGTGAGAAAATGGGACTGAAGAAGGGGCCATGGACAGCTGAAGAAGATCAGATTTTGATCTCTTATATCAATGAACATGGCCATAGCAACTGGCGTGCCCTTCCCAAGCTTGCTGGTGAGTTCCTGCAAGATTTTGATTCGGGTTGGAACCAAGTTAAACTAAAAAACTTGGTTCATTAACTAAATGCATACTTAAAAATGGAAACCTTTTGATATAATCTCTTTCTGCATTTTCTTTCTTTAGGCCTTCTGCGATGCGGGAAGAGTTGCAGACTCCGTTGGATAAACTACCTGAGGCCTGATATCAAGAGAGGAAACTTCACCCAAGAGGAACAGGAAATGGTTCTTCAGCTCCATGAAAAGCTTGGCAATAGGTACCAAGTAGTGAAAATGTCATTAAAATTAAGACCAAAAAAGTGATGGTTTTGTTTACAGAAGTGATTAATGGCGGTTGATACCTGCAGGTGGTCAGCCATTGCCGCGAATCTGCCTGGTCGAACGGATAACGAAATTAAAAACTTCTGGCACACCCATTTGAAGAAACGGCTCGTAAATAAACAGAGCCATGTTTCTGAAAGAAAGAAGTCTGATTCCGCCGTTATTACAGGCAAACCCAAACCCCAGAAGCTGGATTGCTCTACCTATACCTACCATGAATTACCATCTTCTTCCCTCGATCTTTCATCGCTGACAGATTCCCCAACCGCCGCATGGGACGGCTACAATGAAATCGGGAACAAACAGTACATCGAAGTCTCTGAGGCATTTCATCAAACAGGTGGTGGGCTTTGGCCAGAGGAGCCATTCGACGGGCCAATATTCAATTCGTCGGCGGCTAATGATGAAAAACAACTCCAATCACCGTTCAGAGACGTGGATTCAATGGAATTTGGGTGCTATTACAACAATGACACTAAAATGGACGATAGTATGGAGTTTTGGTACAGGGTGTTCGTTAAAGCCGGTGGGTCGCCAAATGACCCTGCATTCTAATTTTACAACAGCGACATGGTCTACAAATATTTGTCTTCCCTTACCGTTGAAATCGGTGAGGCAGGGAACGGATACGGAAGGATGTTGGTGTAATTTGCAAATTAGACAGGGATTGAAGGGTATAATAGCAAATGAAAAAAGGAAAAAAATAGAGAGGAATCCTATTGTCTACGGTCAATGGCCAATGATATTTAAATGGGAAAGAAACGGATATCAATTGGATAATTTGGGTGTTAATTATTTAAAAATGCCCGACAATTATTTATCACTATATCGTCATGCTTCGAGCACTAATTTCGGTCATAAATCATAATACGATTATATTTTATTGATTAAATTATAAATTAATATTTTTTTTAAATATAATTATAAAATTAATAGTTAAATTTTGATGTTCTTTTCTTTTTATTTAGTTCCTCAATTCTAAAATGGTTTCGCGTGAATTTAGTTGGTGACAAAAATAAAATTTTGAAAATAAGAGGATAAATAAATAACAAAGTTGTATTTTAGATATATATTCAATTCAAAAAGTTATTAAATAATTTATTAATATTTATGTTATAGAATTGGTAGAATTATTATTTTACAATATTATATAATCATAATATATTATAAACATGAAATAATTTATTTATAAAAAAATTATATATATTTTTTTAATGTAATTATGCATTTTGAAGTCAAGATCTCAAAACCATTAAATTTTTTCTTCTCTAGCATTCTTATTATTTAGATCACATAATGTAGAAATAATTTTAAAAAAATAAAAATGTCAAACACATATTAATTAATTCAAATCTAAAAACAACAAAAACAAAAAAAAAACATAATCTTGAACATACCAAACCAACATTAAGTATATTATAGATTAAAACAACATGTAGGAGTGAAGATTCAACTGCTCCCTATGTGTATATCATAACCATCTACGCCAAATATTTTGATATAACGTCAACTATAAAGTTTGAAATTCCTGTTTTTCAAATAGATGGTCATCAACTCGTTATCGAAGGTGGTATTTTGCAGATTTTTCCTTTTAATTATTATTGCTTCTTTATTAACATTTGCAATGATTTGAATCAGCCTTAGGATCGAAAATTTTACAAATCTCAAATTATTGAATTTGTAAGGTGAATACAAACAAAGTCTCGCATTGGCTTGAGAAAGAGGTGATCATGAGTATATTAGGATAATTATCTCCATTGTTATGAGGTCTTTTGCGTGAAATAAAAAACAAAGTTGTGAGGGTTATGCACAGAACGGACAATATCAATATCATTAACAAGTGATATCAGAGCCATAGTCTAAAACTTAGCTTTTTCGGTGAATCCTCGAGTGCAATACAGAAGTGGTGAATCTCAGAAGAAGTAGTCATTGTAAATATCAATAAAACGTTGACGTGGGTAGATATTTTTGAAGTAAAAATTATAAAATTAAAAAATCATAATGAATGTTAAAAATGACAAATAAATATTCTACTATTTTTAAATGGTTAATATTTATTAATATTAATATTATGTCTAAATTAGTTAACATAAGTTGAAATCTCAATTTCTTATATTTGTAGCAAAATACCAACAACACTTTCACTTCAGATGAGAAGAGTCTTGCGGCCATTACCTGTTCGGCGATTTGGGGTGATCGAAACTCACTGCTCCATGGCTCCATGATTTCCTCTCCTAAAGTTAAGAGCGATTGGATTAGCACATTTTAAAATACGGATGCGGCTTGTCGAAACATGTCCACGAGCTTGGGTATGGCTATTCGGGATTCAAGAGGTTTTTTGGTGGTGGCAAAAGCTTCAAATCTTCCGCAACCTCTCCCCCCTCTTCACGCTGAAATTTGCTCGCTTGTTGAACTGCCAGCGGCTCGAGTTTGAATCAGATTTGTTGTTGGCCATCCATTTCATCCAAGGAGATTTGCAAACGAGGGGAGACGAGTTCGAGTTGGATTTTGGAAATCAGATCTCTGTTTCTTTCCCCTTTGCCCCCGTGTTTGTAATCACTGTGCCCACTCTTTGGCAAAATGGGGATCTCCGATCAACCCATGTGTGTTTGGCTTCCACTTTCTCAAATTGGCTTATGGATCTTGTTTAGGCTGACTACCCTTCAATTATTGTCCATGTCGCTTCTTCATGGAATTTTTCACTTAAGAAAAAAAAAATTGAACGCATAAATGATAAAACACGCATAAAATTCGAATGCATAATTATATTACCCACTAAATATTTACTTAATCACTTTAATCTAAAATAATACCAATTAATTTATTAACAAATATATTATTCATTTTGTAGAATTATTGTTTTTGTAATTATTTATAATATATTATAAATTTTCATTTTTATTAACAAAAATAAAATGAATTTATAACATAAATTCATCATATATTTATCAAAATTTTTATCTTTTGCCTTCACGGATTAGAGTTCGCAATAACTCCACTGTTGCTCTCGAAAATCCCGTTGAAGATGGCCACCACTCTTTTTCGCTGTTTTTCTTTCGTATTCTTCCTTCTTTTTCTTGATTTGTGCACTATTGAACCAAAGGCAATTTTGATTCTCCTCGATATTGTGGAATGTAAGTTGATTTCAAATCTAGGAAGGATCATCGCAAGCAAAGGAAAATATTTAGATACTTGACAATCTTATTCTTATCAGCACCATTAAATGTTTGACAATCAAGATAAGAATATAAAAAATATATACGGAAGACAATATTTGATTCTCACCGATTAAAATATTTTATTCGGGTGAAATTGAAGTTCAAGGTGAAAATGGTTTTTTCCTAAAATATTTTATCAAAACATTTCTGATGTTACATCAAACTTTCGTAAATTTAAAATCGGAAAATACATCACAATATCTCCATCCAAATTAGGAGAATATTAAAAAAAAAAACAAACAGGAAACCAAAATCATTACACAGTAGAAGAAAATTAGCAGCCCCTTCAACATAATATATACACTATACACAATCAGACCACATTGTCCCCAAAGCCGAAACCACACTGTAAACACAACAAATTCCAAAAAAAAAATCGTTCAAAAATTTCCAATCACACCGTTTTTTCAATCTCATCTTTTTACCTGTAAAAAGAAAACGAAGATCCATGTATATATATAGTGGGAGGAATTGGTAAGGATCAGGCACTGCGGGCCAACATCTCTTGAAATTCGAGAAGTGATTTCTCTTTCTCAAGGATGATATCTCGCCGGAATTTCCTTATGAACTCTTCGGCTCGTTCATCCACCGGCCGGAGATGCGGCGACGAAGCCACCACTATTTTCCAAGCATCTTCAATGCTATAAATAATCGTCTCCTTTTCACTCTCCTCCTCGATTACTTCTTTTCCTCTGCTGGTCTCTGTACTCGCACCATCGCGGCTCTTCGCAATCGGCGCCGCCCGATCTGCGAAGAGCTCGTCTATGTGGATCGCCGCGAAGTTGGTTGGATCACAGTGAAACTGAAGGTGTTGATTTTGCTGGTGACGGTAATTATATGAAGAAGTGGAAGGGGAAGATTTAGAACTGAGAAGGCGAGGGCGAAATTTTGAAGGGATTAGGAGGCGGAGCGATCGGTGAACGGCGGAGGTGAGGCGGCGCGTGGCTGTCTTGACAGATTTGGAGATGTTGAGCGCGTGGAATTTTGATTGTAATGTGTTGGTTAACCTCTTCCATGCCTTCTTCGCGACGCGAAGCTTCTTCTCCAGTACTCTGCTTCGAGACATCAGAGAGAGAGAGAGAGAGAGAGAGAGAGAGAAGGAAAGAGACGGCAGTCGGCAGAGATCGCAGAATAATGGTTGGGCAATGATTTATGGATGGTTTTAATTTATACAGAGCTAAGAAATAAATTCTATTTTTCTTATGAGAAAACGTTGGTTAATTTCAAAGCACTTAATCTGGACTTGTACTTGTTTGGTAACATTTTTCTATGTAGTGTTTGGTATTTTTTTTTTGTTTCTAATATTTTATAACTAGAGCATATGTGTGTTAGATATTCATGCTTCTTGTTTAAATACAAACAAAAATTGTGTTGGATGACTATCTCCTGTTTGTTGTTTTGAATTTATGCCAACAGATCGAAGACCGATTTTGATCAATAAAGCATAATATATATATGTATATTGCATCTAAGGAACGGGAGTAACAAAACTACCTTTTTAGTTTTCAAAATTTAATCCAAATTTTTAAAACGTCTCTCAAAATTTAGAAACAAGAAAATTACCAAACATATATCGCAAAAAATAGGAAACAAAAATGCTATCAAACATACCTGAATTATCAATTTTGTTTCTAAATTTCGATAGTTTTATCTATTGATTCTTTGATTTTTAAAAGTTTTTGTTTAAATTTTATATTTGTTTCAACTTTTCATTTATTAACCTCTACAACATAATTATTTTCGTTTTTATCTTGGGATGAGTATGTCCATTTACATGCCATGGGCACATACAAAAAAGCCACATGGGTTAGTTGAGGTAAGAAATAAAGAGCGGATTTTAAATTAACAAAAATTGAATGACCAAAATGATTATTTACATTTTAAGTATGTTTAGACCAAAATGGTTACAACTGTGGACTTTCAATCTTGTTTATATTCAAACTCATTTATATTGTTAATGTCACTATTTAAGTGTTGAAATAAAAGTGATGATTTAGGATGTCGTAGCATAAAGGTGGGTGAGCTAAAAAAAAAATCAATAGCTTTGTAAGGTAGAATTCTTCGGACCAATATAGTTTATTCAATTAGCCTACCATCTCCAGTCACTCTATCAAGTCATTGTCCATTCATATCCAACATGTTCAATATTAAAATAATGGCGTCGATTTAAATTTTTTGTAATCAAAATAAAAAAATTAACATAATTAAAACTTTTTACTTAAAAAAATAAACATGTACCAAAATCATAATTAAATAACTAAATTTATAATCTAACCACGACACACAATTTTTTTTCAAGTACAACATGGGAAAGGGGAGATCGAACTCACAAATTTAAACCTATATACAACTAAAAAAACATGTCATTTGCAATAATAGTAGTAATAATAATAATGAGAAGAAGGAAGGAAAAAAATCAATGGCAAAATGGAAATTGTTTAGAAATATGAGGTGTATTTTCAGTGGAAATCTCACTTTCGGCTTCCACAAACTCGCAGCAAACTTGGGTCCTAAGTTTTTAGCAATGAAGAAAGTTGACGAATACCTTTACACCACGAAAAAAAAAAAAAAGAGTTGACTAGAGCTAATTCGTATTTCTCATGTGGTTTTACAAATACACTCATATACCCATATAGAAACAATTAATAACTCAATTATATGAGAGTAATTTCAATTTTCCTAGCTATGAAAATAAACGTATATGTAATTTTAAAACTGAATTACCAAAGTTACATATTCTATAAATTAAATAGATGCTTATAGTGCACATAAATTGCTTCAATTTTGTAA